GCGAGGTGGTCGCCAGTCTGTGAGTCCGTACATATTGTCACAAGCTCACCCTCAGGAGTAGTGGTAGTGACCAATTGATCCTGGAGGACAGCGTTACTCACCAAGTTCGTAGCGAACGAGGGGAGGTGGAGACCTGTGAGGGAGCCGGAAGGGGCTGCCGGACATGGGAGAACAGTGGATCCACGTGCAACTACTGGGCCACCAGAGGGGTCGGCCAGGGTGACAGGGACAGGTGCTGGGAGCGGTGTGACTGTGGTGCAATCGTGGAAGAAGCAGCGAGACGCGCTGAGTCGAGTGTGAAGGTGTGCAGAGCCTGCAGGAACTGCACCTGTGCTAGCTGACTCACAAGCATCTAGACTAGCAGCCTCTACACTAGCATCTCTATGCACGCACGAGTAATAGTCACCCTCAACACTAGCAGAAGCAGCATACATCGCATACATGCCAGCATGGATCTGGTCCCAATCACAAGAAAACACATCGATGCTCTTCTTGAGCAAGGCTAACCAGTCAGGAGTCTTCAGCTGCTCACCGAACTCCTCGCGATACGCGTCGTCGAGGCGGAAGAAGCAGCGAGCCTCCGTATGGCCCGTGCGACCGCAAACCTCTCCGGGCTGACCTGTGCTGCGGCGGTACTGGCAGCGGACCGCACCACCCGAGTTGGCACGCTGGACCGCCCACTCACGAAGCTGCTGAGACGAGAGAGTCACCTGCCAACTCGGCTGCTGCTGCTGACCACCCGCTGCACCACCAGACGCCGCCGTACGGGTAGCCGAACCCGAGCCTCCACCCCCGCCAGCTCCACTCCTAGTGCCACCCCCACCCCCTCCACCACCCCCACTGCCTCCACCACCCACGCCACCTCCACCGCCGCCGCCACCTCCTCCACCCCCACCACCCCCACCGCCATCGCCAACGCCACCGCCACCGCCACCCCCACCACCCCCACCCTTGCCACCCTTTCCCTTGCCGCTGCAGTGCCTCCCACTAGGAGCAGACGCAGCACCGACCTCCTCAGCACGAAGGAAGTCAACAGCAGAAGCAGACGCAACAGAGGGCGCGAGCAGGGAGGGGGAGCACCCCTCAAAGACGGAGGGGAGGGGAGTGCCACGGGAGGCAGCTATAGCTAGGGCAGCGGACTCAGCCTCTAAGAGACGGGACTCAAACGAGGCAATGGTGGTCTCAGTGGGGTCTAGGGAGAGGATATGGTCTCGAACAGCACGAAGGTAGTCAGGGAGGCGGGTCGTGAGGAAGTAGAGAGAGAGATACATGTGGGGCTGGTTCTCAGCCAGAAAGTCTGACTGGAGAGCAGCACGGTAGCGCGTGTCAAAGGAGCGCAGGTGAGTCATGAGGTCGGCTACAGTGGTGAAGTCTGACAGCTCAGGGAAGAGGAACGGCAGCGCAAGACGGCCTATAGTGGCAGAAGACGGGGAGGAGTAGCGCTTGACTACAGCGTCATAGAGCGCTTTGGCCGTCTTAAGCTGTCGAAAATGGGGCTGCTGGTCTAGCGGGAGTTGGCTACGGACAGCAAGGGCGGCAGTAGCGTCGCGAGAAGTCCACTGGGAACGAGCTACGCGGTCAGCCGACTCAGCAGGGGCAGCGAGGGACCCCGGGGTATGCTCAAACAGCGAGACATCCTCCCTAGTAACGCTCTGCTGGTACTAGTGGGGGTCCTCTAGCCAGGACTCAAAATCGATCGGGTGGCCCTCGGCGTCAAAGGTGAGCACAGTGGGAGTCGCCATAGCAGCAGTAACGGCAGCAGCAGCGGTAGCAAGGGCAGCAGCAGCAGTAGCAGTAGCAGCGGTAGCAGCAGTACGGGCGGCAGTAGCAGTAGCAGTGGCAGTAGAAGGGGCGGCAGCAGTTACAGTAGCAGCAGTGGCGGCGTCAGCAGAACTAGGGCGTGCTAAGGGCACTCGACGGGCTACTGAAGGGGCGCACTCTAGGGGCGCTCCACGGGCAGAAAACGGGCAGACTAGGGGCGCGTCAAGGGCAGAAAACGGGCCTTGCCCTAGGGGCGCTCCACGGGCAGACAACGGGCAGAATTAGGGCGCGCCACAGGCTGGAAAACGGGCCTTGCCCTAGGGGATGTGAGGGGCAGAAAACGGCTTAACTAGGGGCGCACCACGGGCAGAAAACGGCCGCGCCCTAGGGGCGCGCGACCAGTAGGAAAAACGACGCGTCCTAGGGGCGCATTAAGGGCAGCGAAGGCGCACGCGCGTTCGGGGCGCGTGACGGGCAGAGAATGCGTGCGCGCAGGGGGCGCTCGGCGGGCAGAAAAACGTGCGCGCTAGGGCGCACGACGGGCAGAAAGTGACGCGCAGTAGAGGCGCACGCAGGGCAGAAAAATTAGTCGTGGGGCAGAAAAAACGGTGGGCCCATGTAAAGTTTTCCTAAGGAGCAACCTTCTCAATACCATGTTAGGAACTAGAATGGGTTGCATTAGGTCAAGGAGTGGTGTACAAGCAAAGTAGCGAGAAGGTTTGTGTACCCCCTAAGGCTATCCCCAATATAGCCTAGATAGATATAAATATACGGTATATGTTTTGACAGATGGAAATTGAGGAGTGGTTCTTTACTGGGTTGAGCATAATTACTCAAGATAGGTTTCATATTGTTCAAAGAAACCTCAATGGGTTACGTTCTTGTTACAAGTTCGATTGCCTTCTGTCATCGTTGATCCGCTAAGGGCCCATACTACAAAGTTCGGCTTTGTTCGGGGAGCGGATTCAGTTTCTTTTGTCACATGCAGTTCAGTTTCGTCTCCCAGGCTATTGCACGGCTCTCGCGCACTGAAACGCAGAAATTTGAATGTGCTGGTTCAGTTCAGACGAACAATCGCAAACTGCCAAACCTGCAATTTTCGCCAGCTTGTACCCGCCCTAAATACGTAAATAGCAGACAAATCACTCTACGACGCCAAATCGCATAACATAAGTAGCCTTGCCAGATTCATGTTTCCTCCTCCATGTCCTTCGGCTGCGCAACACAAATCAGGCAACTGGTTGTTTCGGCAGGTTGATTGCGCTTTAGCAACACCATGGGCATAGTTGGCACACAGTAATGACGTTCCTTTTCACTGCAAGGCTGCATGCTTCGCGAATGCTTAAACTGAATGAATCGTTTTGCTTGCAGTCTAGGGGCGCCAGAATATGTATCGAAGCTCCAAGACATTTTTGAAAGAGCAGAATATACTGACGTCGTGTTTGAGGCCTCTGATGGGACCAGGATTCCAGCACATCGCAACGTTGTCGCGATTTGGTACCCTATCGCTGTCCTAAGAAAAAATATGTTCTATGCGGTTCCACATTATCATCGCTTTCTTCCATTCAGGTCTTCGCTGCTGGAAAACAGGTGGAAGAGCATTCCAAGCAAGAAAAAACCGATCGTGAAAATAGAGCTGGATGGTCCGGCATTGAAGCAATTTCTGTCGTTCATGTATGGTCATGAGATAACAGTCACATTGGAGTCCATCAAGGTATGCATTCGTCGCGCTATTTGTGTTGTGGATGCCTTTTACGGTAACAAGTTGTCATATCCTACAGAGTGGACTTTCTGTGCTTGAAGCAGCGCATGAGTACGACGTTTCCGATCTAGTCAAGGTGGTGGACAACGAGTTACGCGTGCTTATTCAATACCAGTTCCAGGAGATTGAGGAGGAAACCGTACTTGATGTTCTAAAAGTTGCTGGCCGAGCTGGTGCAAAGTATACATTCAAAAGCGTTTTTGAGAAGTTGGACCAAGAAACGGGTCCTAACATCATGAAGGTCAGTGTGTTCTCGTTGAGACACCAAGTGTAGCACCTTTCGTGCCTACTTCTAACTTATGCTCCCTCCTGCAGAAGTTGTTCACGAGTAAAGACAGTCGGGACCATGAGGTGGCAAATAAGCTTGTTACCATGACATGGACTTCCTTCGATACGGATTCAGATTATAAATCAGATAACGAGGCAGGTGACGAAGAAGGTGATGAAGCAGGCGATGAAGCAGGCGATGAAGCAGGTGATGAAGTGGATGATGAAGGCGGTGTCAGGACTTGAACGATGAAGCGTCTCCGATAACGCAGAATGAGAGTGGAGAGATTGCTGTTACAGCTCACATCTCCTTGAAGAGGATTGTTGTCTGCATACCACAGAATAAACGGGGGCGATGGGTGTCTGCTGCTTTACCCTTGCTTTTACGGTAGTAATTATTTTTTTGTGTGAGCTATGATGATGTTTTAGTACTGGTATAAACGGAATATGGACTCAGCGATTGGTCACTTATCACAGTCTTACATATCTCCATTTGAGCTCCAAAATTGACGCAATTAAGTATGTGTGACGTCCAAGGCAGGCTGACTTGGAAAAAAAAACGGGGCGCCAGAACAGAATGCGTAGGCAATCCCCCCCCCCACCATTCAGAAGGCACGACCAAAACACGAGCCCCTGTTGAAATCATCGCTTCAAAGGTGCCACAACTACTGCCTGTATGGTATGGTATGTTTTACAAGAGAGCTATCTGCAAGAACGTCATATCATGCTGCCTGTATGGTATGGCACTTAAGACGCGATGGTTCTCTGTTCCCAAGCCTCCTCTGCCTGTCCTCCGCTTGTCTTTGTGCCACTGCCTGTACGGTATGTATGGCATAGCATGCTTTACGTAAGAGCTCTGCAAGAACATCAAATCATGCTAGCGCCCTGTACCGTACTTAAGACGAGATGGTTCTCTGTTCCCAAGCCTCCTCTGCCTGTCCTCCGCCTGTCTTTGTGCCACTGCCTGCCACTTCCTGCTTTACATCAGAGCTCTGCAAGAACATCAAATCATGCTAGCGCCCTGTACTTAAGACGTGATGGTTCTTTGTTCCCAAGCCTCCTCCTCCTGTCCTCCTCGTAGTCGCTGTACGAGCCTTCGAACCAAACTACCTGCTTCGGAACGTACAGGGTAGAGATGAAATAGCCTTTGCCTTAGAAAAGGAAGCCCTGCAGTGCTGGTGCACAAGCAACAGATGTCTGCCGACACATGTCATGCAATCTCAAGCTGACCCAACAAACACCAAGTGGCACAACGAACCTCTAAACCTCAGAAACGAAGAAGAAATTGAAAGGAAAACACACAGAACCTCCATACCTTATAAACGAAGAACAAGTAGAAACGAAGCAGAACGCTGGCATAACTTAGAGAATTCTCAACAACAAAGCAGATCGCCGCTCGCTATGCATGCTGACACCATACATGTGCGTGGCAATGCGATCCAACAACCAGCTTTTCAGAGTCTCAAAACTTACACATCATGCATCCCACAAGCCCCTGAACCGCATCCTCCAGCAAAATTCTCGAGCAAGGTATAATAATAATAATAATAGCAAGGTATAATAATAATAATAATAATAATAATAGTAATAAACAAAAAAAATCGCACCTTGGAGTCGCCTTCAAAGGCCATGATGTGCGTGGCAATGCGATCCAGAAACCAGCGGTCGCGAGAGATGACAATCACGCATCCCGCAAACCCCTGAATCGCGTCCTCCAGCGCCCTGAGCGTGTCCACATCAAGATCATTCGTGGGCTCGTCCAGCATGAGCAGGTTGCCTCCGCGCCGCATGATGCACATCATGCATCATGCACGACCCTGAATCGCATCCTCCCAGTGAAGCATTGAGACCTCTCAAGAAACGCACCTTGGAGTCGCCTTCAAAGGCCATGATGTGCGTGGCAATGCGATCCAAGAACCAGCGGTCGTGAGAGATGACAATCACGCATCCCGCAAACCCCTGAATCGCATCCTCCAGCGCCCTGAGCGTGTCCACATCGAGGTCATTGGTGGGCTCGTCCAGCATGAGCAGGTTGCCTCCGCGCCGCATGATGCGCGCCAGGTGCACGCGGTTCCTCTCGCCGCCCGACAGCACTCCCACCTTCTTCTGCTGGTCCGCCCCCTTGAAGTTGTACCACGCACAGTACGCCCGGCTGTTCACCTTCCGCTCGCCTGGGGGTGGGGGGGGGGGGGGGAGGGGGGGGAGGGAGGGAGGGAGGGAGGGAGGGAGGGGGGGGAGGGAGGGAGGGAGGGAGGGAGGGAGGGAGGGAGGGAGGGAGGGAGGGAGGGAGAGAGAGAGGGGGAAGTCACAGCGCATGTGACAGTAGCACGTGTGTGAGCACACGAGAGAGGTATATCCACGCCCGCAGCGTGTCAACATCGAGGTCGTTGGTGGGCTCGTCCAGCATGAGCAGGTTGCCTCCGCGCCTCATGATGCGCGCCAGGTGCACTCGGTTCCTCTCGCCGCCCGACAGCACGCCCACCTTCTTCTGCTGGTCCGCCCCCTTGAAGTTGTACCACGCACAGTACGCCCGGCTGTTCACCTTGCGCTCGCCTGGGGTTGATTGGTGGGAGGGAGAGGGGGAGAGCATCCAAGGACCACGCAATTACAGCACATGTACGACTGTTGCATCTGTTACTGTGGCATGTGTGACTGTTAAATGCGTGACAATGCGCAAGGTGTGGCTATAAAGACTCACCTTTTCCAAGAAACGACAGCCTCACCCAGCCAGATCCAATCGCCTCTCAAGGACAAAATCTCATCTCCACTAAACGACAAACAAACCCACCCAGCAGGATCTCATCTGCGCCGCCCGTGATCTCCTCAAAGACCGTCTTGTTCGGATCCAGCGCGTCGCGCGATTGGTCCACATAGAGCGGCGCCACCGTGTCTCCCACTCGCAAAGTGCCCTCATTGGGGCTATCCTGCCCCACAATCATGCGGAAGAGGGTCGACTTGCCGGCACCATTGCCACCAATCACTCCCACAATGCCTGGCGGAGCAAGGGGAAGGGGCGGGGAGGGGATGGGGAGGGGATTGGGGGGAAGGAGGCAGGGGAGGGCTTGAAAGACTCGCAGGGAGTCCCCCGATAGGCAAGGAGAGGGGGGCGCCACCGTGTCTCCCACTCGCAAAGTGCCCTCATTGCAGCCCCCACGATCATGCGGAAGAGCGTTGACTTGCCGGCACCATTGCCACCAATCACCCCCACAATGCCTGCACGGCGAAAGGGGAAATAGAGGAAGAGGGAGGGGTTGAGGCGGATGGAAACTCTGAAGTCTGTTAGGAGTGAAATCATCCGCATGCTGCCACACCTCCAAACATCAGGCTGAAGCTGAATCCATCCATGCACCACACGCCATGCCATGGTAGCATGCTCCACACACACCACCGCACCACGCCATACCTCCAGGCGGCAGGGTGAAGCTGACTGACCCCATCCATGAGCATGCGCTCCCCAAATGCTTTTGCAGCCCCCTCCGCCTCCACCTCCACATCGCCCCGCCACACCATGCCACATGCCATACCTCCAGGCCACACCACACAATCCATACTGTACCACACTCCACCGCACACCACCACAAACCATATTCCACCACACACCACCACATACCTCCTGGCGGCAGCGTGAAGTTGACCCCATCCATAAGAATCCTCTCCCCAAACGCCTTGGCCACCCCCTCCGCCTCCACCACCACATCGCCCAGCCACACCATACATCCAAGCCACAACACACAAACCTTACTGTACCACACACCACCGTTCCATACCTCCAGGCGGCAGGGTGAAGTTGACCCCATCCATAAGAACCCGCTCCCCAAACGCCTTGGCCACCCCCTCCGCCTCCACCACCACATCACCCAGCCACACCATACATCCAAGCCACAACACACAAACCTTACTGTACCACACACCACCGTTCCATACCTCCAGGCGGCAGGGTGAAGTTGACCCCATCCATAAGAACCCTCTCCCCAAACGCCTTTGCCACCCCCTCCGCCTCCACCACCACATCGCCCAGCCACACCATACATCCAAGCCACAACACACAAACCTTACTGTACCACACACCACCGTTCCATACCTCCAGGCGGCAGGCTGAAGTTGACCCCATCCATAAGAACCCTCTCCCCAAACGCCTTGGCCACCCCCTCCGCCTCCACCACCACGTCTCCCAGCCGCGGCCCCGGGGGCAGAAACATGCTCTCCAGCTTCTCCTCCCGTGAGTACTGGCCAGCTTGGATAACCAACTCCTCATATGCTCGCATGCGCGCCTGTGGGTTGGGGGAGGGTGGGAGGGTAGATTGGCAGGTGAGCGCGGGTGGGTAGATGGCCGCGCCTCCACCACCACATCTCCCAGCCGCGGGCCTGGGGGAAAAAACATGCTCTCCAGCTTCTCTTCCCGCGAGTACTGGTCCGCCTGAATGACCAGTTCCTCATAAACCCAGTGAGGGCAGCAGGAGCAAGCCCTCCAGCCTCGCCTCCTGTGAATACTAGCTGGCCTGTGAATACCAGCTCCTCATAACATTCTTTCCAGCTTCCCCTCATGGGAGTAATGGCTGGTTTGAAAAAAAAAACTCCTCGTGCCCTTACCCCTGACATCCCACACCCCTTCCACACCCTCCCTCCTCCTCTCTCACCTTGCCCTTCTTCTGTTGCCCCTTGGCCGTCTGTCGAATCCACTCCATCTCTCGCTCCATAACTCGCTGCAGTGCCGACTGCTGCTTTTTCCCACTGCCCTGTTTGCCCCTCTCCAACCCTGTGAACCCATTTCAGCCCCCCTTACACGCTCTTCCCACCCCCCCCCCCCCCTCCCCTCTCTCTCACCTTGCCCTTCTTCTGTTGCCCCTTGGCCTTCTGTCGAATCCACTCCATCTCCCGCTCCATAACCCGCTGCAGCGCCGACTGCTGCCGCTCCTCCGTCCCCAACCGCTGCGACTTGTTCTCGAGCCAGGCCGAGTAGTTGCCCTCAAAGGGAATGCCCTGCCCGCGATCCAGCTCCAGAATCCACCCTGCGACCTGCGTGCATGCAAGGGGAGACAAGGGGGAGAAGGCGAAAGAGGGGATTGCGGGTGATGATGCCACGCCGAGTAGTTGCCCTCAAAGGGAATGCCCTTCCCTCGATCCAGCTCCAGAATCCACCCGGCCACCTGGTCAAAGGGGCAGAGGGAGAAAGGGGGGGAGGGGGGGTTGTGGTAAGGGTGAATGCTGCTGCTCCTGCTGCTCCTCCCCTGCCAGACGCTGAGCCTTGTTCTCGAGCCAGGCCGAGTAGTTGCCCTCAAAGGGAATGCCCTTCCCTCGATCCAGCTCCAGAATCCACCCTGCCACCTGCGTGCAGGGGAAGAGGGAGACAAAGGGGCGAAGGAAGGAGAGAGAGGGGAAGAAGGCAAAAGAGGGGATTGTGGTGAGGATGATTGATGATGCCCTGCGCGCGATCCAGCTCCAGAATCCACCCTGCCACCTGGGTGCAGGGGAAGAGGGAGAAAAGGGGGAAAAGGGGGGTTGTGGTACGGGTGAATCCTGCAGCTCCAGAATCCACCCTGCCACCTGGGCACAGGAGGAGAGAAGGAAAGAGAAGTGAGGGGAAGAATATAACAGCATCGACCGTGGGTATGGTGACTGACTGATTATGCCCTGCCCGCGATCCTGATAGCGGGTGCGTTATGGTAACGGGTGCGTTATGGTAACGGGTGCGTTATGGTAACGGGCGCGTTATGGTAACGGGCACGTCATGGTAACGGGTGCGTCATGGTAACGGGTGCGTTATGGTAACGGGTGCGTCATGGTAACGGGTGCGTTATGGTAACGGGTGCGTTATGGTAACGGCCGCGTTATGGTAACGGGTGCGTCATGGTAACGGGTGCGTCATGGTAACGGGTGCGTTATGGTAACAGGTGCGTCATGGTAACAAGTCAGTTATGGTAACGGGTGCGACATGGTAACGAGTGCGTTATGGTAACGGGTGCATTATGGTAACGGGTGCATTACGGTAACGGGTGCATTATGGTAACGGGTGCATTATGGTAACGGGTGCGTTCTGGTAACGGGTGCGTTATGGTAACGGGTGCATTATGCTAACGGGTGCGTCATGGTAACGGGTGCGTAATGGTAGCGGGTGCGTTATGGTAACGGGTGCGTTATGGTAACGGGTGCGTTATGGTAACGGGTGCGTTATGGTAACAGGTGCGTTATGGTAACGGGTGCGTTATGGTAACGGGTGCGTTATGGTAACGGGTGCGTTATGGTAACGGGTGCGTCATGATAACGGGTGCGTTATGGTAACGGGTGCGTTATCGTAACGGGTGCGTTATGGTAACGGGCGCGTCATGGTAACGGGCGCGTCATGGTAACGGGTGCGTTATGGTAACGGGTGCGTTATGGTAACGGGTGCGTTATGGTAACGGGTGCGTCATGGTAACGGGCGCGTCATGGTAACGGGTGCGTCATGGTAACGGGTGCGTTATGGTAACGGGTGCGTCATGGTAACGGGTGCGTTATGGTAACGGGTGCGTTATGGTAACAGCCGCGTAATGGTAACGGGTGCGTCATGGTAACGGGTGCGTCATGGTAACGGGTGCGTCATGGTAACGGGTGCGTTATGGTAACAGGTGCGTCATGGTAACGGGTGCGTCATGGTAACGGGTGCGTCATGGTAACGGGTGCGTTATGGTAACAGGTGCGTCATGGTAACAAGTCAGTTATGGTAACGGGTGCGACATGGTAACGAGTGCGTTATGGTAACGGGTGCATTATGGTAACGGGTGCATTACGATAACGGGTGCATTATGGTAACGGGTGCATTATGGTAACGGGTGCGTTCTGGTAACGGGTGCGTTATGGTAACGGGTGCGTTATGGTAACGGGTGCATTATGCTAACGGGTGCGTCATGGTAACGGGTGCGTCATGGTAGCGGGTGCGTTATGGTAACGGGTGCGTTATGGTAACAGGTGCGTTATGGTAACGGGTGCGTTATGGTAACGGGTGCGTTATGGTAACGGGTGCGTCATGATAACGGGTGCGTTATGGTAACGGGTGCGTTATGGTAACGGGTGCGTTATGGTAACGGGCGCGTCATGGTAACGGGCGCGTCATGGTAACGGGTGCGTTATGGTAACGGGTGCGTTATGGTAACGGGTGCGTTATGGTAACGGGCGCGTCATGGTAACGGGCGCGTCATGGTAACGGGTGCGTTATGGTAACGGGTGCGTTATGGTAACGGGTGCGTTATGGTAACGGGCGCGTCATGGTAACGGGCGCGTCATGGTAACGGGTGCGTTATGGTAACGGGCGCGTTATGGTAACGGGCGCGTTATGGTAACGGGTGCGTCATGATAACGGGTGCGTCATCGTAACGGGTGCGTTGTGGTAACGGGTGCGTTATGGTAACGGGTGCGTTATGGTAACGGGCGCGTCATGGTAACGGGCGCGTTATGGTAACGGGCGCGTCATGGTAACGGGTGCGTTATGGTAACGGGTGCGTTATGGTAACGGGCGCGTTATAATCCACCTCCAGAATCCACCTAGCCTTTGGGTCCTGGGCACTGGAGGAGAGAAAGACCGAGTGAGAGGGGGGTCCGGGATGGGGGGTTGGGGGGTTAACTAGGTTACTCCTGCTGCCGTTCCTCCCCAACTGGTCCTTACCATTATCATCACCATCCATTGAAGTAACATAATCTGGTTTTTGAATTTTCTCAACAGACACAATCCATTACAGTCACATCATCTCACATTATCCAGGAAGTATCGGTCGTGAGTGATGGCGACAACGGTGCCTTTGAACTCTGCCAGGTACCGCTCCAGCCATGCCACGCACTGCCTCCACGTCCCGTCGGTGCTGATCCATACCCCCATACCACTAAGCATCAACACACTGCCACCCATCAGAGTAGCATCGCACTCACATCATCCAGGAAGTAGCGGACGTGGGTGATGGCCACAACAGTGCCTTTGAACTCTGCCAGGTACCGCTCCAGCCACGCCACTGCCTCCGCGTGCCATCAGTGCTGACCAATACCCCCATACCACTAAGCATCAACACACTGCCACCCGTCAGAGTAGCATCGCACTCACATTGTCAAGGAGGTATCGGTCGTGAGTGATGGCGACAACGGTGCCTTTGAACTCCCACCAGTACAGATAAAGCACACGTACCAGTATCACCTACCACCTATACCACCACTCATCGCACTCACATTATCCAGGAAGTATCGGTCGTGAGTGATGGCGACAACGGTGCGTCTGAACTCCCACCCCACCAGTACAGATAAAACACACATACCAGTATCACCTACCGCCGTTACTACCACGCATCTGCGCTCACATCATCCAGGAAGTAGCGGCCGTGAGTGATGGCCACAACAGTGCCTTTGAACTCTGCCAGGTACCGCTCCAGCCACGCCACTGCCTCCAGGTCCCACCAGTGCTGACCTGACCTGACCTGACCTGACCTGACCTGATCTGATCTGATCTAATCTGATCTGACCTATACCACCACACCACTGCCTCTGCGACCCATGGGTGCTGGCCTGTACCACCGTGTCCCTGCCACTCACATTATCAAGGAAGTAGCGGTCGTGAGTGATGGCAACGACAGTGCCTTTGAACTCCGCCAGATACCGCTCCAGCCATGCCACTGCCTCCGCATCGAGATGGTTCGTGGGCTCGTCCAGAAAGAGAATGTCCGGCGCCTGCGAGTGGGAGAAGTAAAGGGGAGTGTGGGAGAGGGGGGGGGGGGAGGGGGATAGGGTGCAAGAGTGCCTCCATCCAGCCATGCCCCTGCCTCCGCATCGAGATGGTTCGTGGGCTCGTCCAGAAAGAGAATGTCCGGCGCCTGCGAGTGGGAGAAGTAAAGGGGAGTGTGGGAGAGGGGGGGGGGGGGAGGGGGATGGGGTGCAAGAGTGCCTCCATCCAGCCATGCCCCTGCCTCCGCATCGAGATGGTTCGTGGGCTCGTCCAGAAAGAGAATGTCCGGCGCCTGCGAGTGGGAGAAGTAAAGGGGAGTGTGGGAGAGGGGGGGGGGGGGGGGGGATGGGGTGCAAGAGTGCCTCCATCCAGCCATGCCCCTGCCTCCGCATCGAGATGGTTCGTGGGCTCGTCCAGAAAGAGAATGTCCGGCGCCTGTATGCGGGAGGGGGGTAAAGGAGGTGGGAAGTGGAAGAGGAGGGGGTAGGAGAGGGATTTCAGGTGGACCCGACGGTTTCCGGTCTCTTCCAACTAGCCCCGCTCCCCTCTATGTTCCACCTAAGCCCCCTTCCCTCCCTTTCCCTCCTTCCCTTCCCCACGCTAGCCCCTCCCTCATGCTAACCCCTCCCCCACGCTAGCCCCTCATAGCCCCCATGCCGTGCTTGTCGCGATCCCCCCTCCCTTCCCTCACCTGCAGCAGCAGGCGACACAGTGCCACGCGCCTCCTCTCCCCGCCACTCAAATTCATGCAGCAAAGTTTTCTGTGAACAAGCATGGAAAAAATAACTTCCCCCTTTCCGCTTTTGAGTCGACTCAAAATTCACGTTCATTAAACAAGGTTGTCTGTGTAACAAACATGGAATGAAACGGCTTTCCCCTCCACCCCCCCCCCTCCACCCCCCCCCCCTCCACCCCCCCCCTCCACCCCCCCCCTCCACCCCCCCCCTCCACCCCCCCCCTCCACCCCCCCCCTCCACCCCCCCCCTCCACCCCCCCCCTCCACCCCCTACCATTCCCCCTCCTCACCTGCAGCAGCAGGCGGCACAGGGCCACGCGCCTCCTCTCCCCGCCACTCAGATTCGCCACGGGGGCCTCACCGGAGGGGCAGCGTAATGCGTCCATGGCCCTCTAGAAGCACGGGAGACAGAGAGGTGGGTGGAGAGCGGTGCAAGTGGGTTTGAGAACAGGGATCATGGCACAAGGGTTTGTGACAGCAGCACTCAGATTCGCCTCGGGGGCCTCACCGGAGGGGCAGCGTAATGCGTCCATGGCCCTCTAGAAGCACGGGAGGCAGGGCAGGCAGGGAGGTAGAGGGGAGTGGGAAGCGGTGCAAGTCGGTTTGGAAACAGGAAACAGGGCAGGGGGGCTGGTGAAGAAGCAGCAACACTCAGGTTCTCCTCCTCGGGGGCCTTCCTTGGGGAAAAGAAAACAGCGGCCCTGAGGACTTACTGCAGCAGCTGCCAACTTTTGAGGCGCCTCAAAAGTAGACTCGCTCGAGGGCCTTCCTTGGGGGAAACAGCGCCCCTGAGGACTTACTGCAGCAGCTGCCAAGTAGACTCGGGGGCCTTCCTTGGGGAAAACAGCGAGATTACTTTTGAGTCGACTCAAAAGACATCCCTGAGGACTTACTGCAGCAGCTGCCAACCTCTGTTGTTTCCACCTGAGGACTCACCTGCAGCTCCCTGACTCTGTTGTTTCCACCTGAGGACTCACCTGCAGCTCCCTGACTCTGTTGTTTCCACCTGAGGACTCACCTGAAGCTGCCTGTCGAGCTCCCAGCCGTTGCAGGCGTCGAGGCGGGTCTGCAGGCGCTCCATTTGAGCCATCAGCTTGTCCATTTCAGCATCGCCTGCTGATGCCATCGCTACACTCACCTGATGGTTTTAAGAACATGCATGGATGGATGGATACGAACATGTATGGAAATGTACGAGCACACATGAATGATTTTCTAGGCGCATCTAAAGGCACTCCATCTGAGCCATCAGCTTGTCCATGTCAGCATCGCCCGCTGATGCCATCGCTACACTCACCTGATGGATATATGTATGTATGGATACAAGCACATACGGATATGTATAAGCACACACGGATAAAGGCATGAACTGCTTGATCTCCAAACCTCTGCAGCCCGCTTTTCGTTCTTTCGCGCTTTCTTCCTTCCCGCCCAACTCTCCTCCTCAGCCCAACTTTTTCATCACTACCTCTTCACCTCCTCCTCCTCACCTCCTCACTTCCTCCGCTCACCTCCTCACCTCCTCACTTCCTCCCTCACTTCCTTCTCCTCACTTCCTCCCCTCACCTCCTCACCTCCTCACTTCCTCACTTCCTTCTCTTCACTTCCTCTTCACCCCTCCACCACCTCACCTCCTCAAACTCCTGAAGCAGGTCCCTGGTCTCCTTAAGAGCAGGTTCGATGTTATCCATAACAGTGACCCCATCATCCAGCAGCGGCTCCTGCTCCAGGTACCCAATCTTGATGCTCGGATCGATGTAATAATCCCCCTCAAACGTCGTGTCTTGCCTCTTCCCCCTCACCCCCTGACCTCTACACTTCCCCCTCACCCCTTCCTTCCCCTCACCTCCTCACTCTTCACTTCCCCCTCACCTCTTCAATTCCTCTTTAACTCCCCACCACCTCACCTCCTCAAACTCCTGAAGCAAATCCTTGGTCTCCTTAAGAGCAGGTTCGATATTATCCATAACAGTGACCCCATCATCCAGCAGCGGCTCCTGCTCCAGGTACCCAATCTTGATGCTCGGATCGATGTAATAATCCCCCTCAAACGTCGTGTCTTTCCCCGCGAGAAGGCGCATGAGGGAGCTCTTGCCCGCCCCGTTGGCCCCCAGGAAGCCGATCTTGGCGCCCAGGTACATGCCCAGGCTGATGTTCTTTAGGATCTCCTTGCCATTCGGGGCCACCTGGGGGGGCGGAGAGGTGGGGGGGGGAGGGAGATGGGAGTGGGATGAACCTGGTAAGAGGGAGAAGGCTTGGCCCCCAGGAAGCCGATCTTGGCGCCCATATACATGCCCAGGCTGATGTTCTTTAGGATCTCCTTGCCGTTGGGGGCCACCTGCTTGGTCACAGGGGTGACCACGGGTATGGCAGCGGGTGGAGGAGGTGGAATGGGGGAGAGGAGGGAGAAAGATCACCCCAGGTACATGCCCAGGCTGATGTTCCTCAGAATCGCCTTGCCATTCGGCGCCACCTGAAAGCGTTGGGGAGGGGAGACGGGGAGGGGTGGGAGGGGAGAGGGTGGAAATGGTAAGAACGTAAAGTGGCGCCCAGGTACATGCCCAGGCTGATGTTCTTTAGGATCTCCTTGCCGTTGGGCGCCACCTGCGGGGGTGGGGGAGAGAAGGGTGCAGCGGGAGGGGGGAGGGAGGGAGATGGGAGTGGGAAGAATCTGATAGAAGGAAGAGAAGGAGGAGGGCTTGGCCCCCACGAACCCGATCTTGGCGCCACGTGGTGTGGAACAAGGGGTTGGGGAGAGGGGCCGAGGGGGATTGGGATTGGGTGTGGGATTGGGGAGAATTTTTAGGAAAGGGGAGTTGTGGCGCAAAGAAGAGAGCGTGAAGCAAAGCCCTCGTCATGCTTCAAACCGTATCTCTTAAACCCTGAACCCCTGCCGCAAATCTAGGTCGCAAACAGCATTTGCATGGCGACGCGAAAACTCCGCTATAAGAAGACTCAGTAAAATATATTTTTTTCGCGTGCCTTGCGGAGGCGGTTCACGCTGAGGATGATCTTCCGCGTCTCGTTCTGATACGCCGTCCCGCGCTCCGCGGACGGAGCCTTGCTGCCCGCCGACTTCAGCTTCCCGCCGCCGCCTCCGCCGCCTCCGCCGGCACCTGCGCCGCCTCCGCCACCGCCTCCGCCGGCTCTTCCGCCGCCTCCCCCGCCTTTCTTCCCTTTTTTTCCCGCCATAGCGACCACTTTCGCAGTGCGCGCTGCCGTTGCTGCGGAATGCCGTCGTGCCTTGAGGTGCGACGTGGAGCCCTTCCATTGGAGGAGATCAATGCCGCCATTTTGGTTACGTTTGGAGGCGAAATTCGTGGGGATGCTGCGCTGGACTGTCAGCTCGGAACCAACAGCCAGGCATGTTGGCGAATAACTGAGAGCCATGGTGGAAGTTTGGAAGTGGAGTGACGAGGGGAGCTCCAGATTTTTAATATAGTAAATAAAAACTGTTTCGCCTCTTAAACATCCGTTGTAGTCCAGCCTGGTTAGGATACCTGGCTTTCACCCAGGCGACCCGGGTTCAAATCCCGGCAACGGAGCTTTTTGCTGTGTTTAGTTAGGCTTCGCTATCACTCTCTCTGATCAGGAGACCTTTCACTGTACATCTTGTTGATTGGCCCATGGTCGACGTCATGGCATATTTTCCGGTCAGCTGTCGTCAGAGGAATTACTGTCGGTTTGGTTGACGTCAATCGTGATGGGTCAACAAAGCCACTCTGGTTGGCCCACGCCCAGTGTTTTCCGAAGTGCTCTGCTAAAAACACTGCCCGTGACATTACGTGATCCCACGTGCAATTCGATTTGGGGGTGACAGGGAAATTCAGAAGCAAACTGACATTACTCCCCCTACAGTCACTTGGTGGCTCAAAACGTGATTGCAATTTTGCTCAAAAATCTTTTGGGGAATTCCCGCAAATGAACGACTGCGCTTGATGGTGACGGCCCCACTTTCAACCGCGTAGCGTGTGCCACGTCGGATGTGTCCGGCCATCAAAACTCCCGTCTCGTCGTCCCTGCGATGGCATTCCGTCACAAAAACTCCCACACAGCCTGCGTTTATTCAGCCCGAAGTCCGGTTTGTTGTGGAACTGACCGGACGGGCTGGACGTTTTCCGGCCCTCCCGAACTCGAGCCGCGTCGAAACCATCATCCCCCTTGGGAATTGCGCAGGTGCTGGATCAAACATTCGCCTTGATTTTATCCACAGCTCTCATGAACTCATCATCTTCAGACAGGAATAGCATTCTAAATGACCAGACCAGAAGCAAGTGAGCTCTGCTGATCAAGTAGCATCTCCATAGCTGCTAACTTTCCAGTACGTGCGAAGCCTCAGAGATCCTGTTGGGAATGTTTGTGTAGGTTGTATGCAGTACTGTTCCGCTCATTTCGCGCGTTACTTTCTACGTTGTTCAGATCAAAGTAGCTCCTGCAGCAGCGTATCTCAGTGTCTTTGAGCTCCTAAATTTCAGTATACTATCTCAGTATATAAGTGACACGTTTCAGGAGAAGCCATGCCGCTTGTTGATGGTATGACTGCCTTAGACGAAGCGCTGGAGGCTCCCGAATGGAGCAGCCTCGGAGCAGTCCGGACAGCGATTCGGAAGCAGCTAACACAACAAGGTAGCGCTTTAGTCCTATATTTGCAAATGCCGTGATATCGACACAACGTTGTTTAATCGTTTACCGCGAATTAACACCAATTATCTGACAAAAAAAGTTCATTTCTGCTGTGATTTTCGACCTTGCCGGAAAATGTATCTCTCTGTCCAGGTGCAGGAGCAAAAAATCCATCGGAGGAAGTTATTAATCACTGGTCGGGGGAAATGATGGGTGTGTTGAACGACATGAACAGTGCTAAAGCTGATGTCATGAGGGATGTGGCACCTGCAGATCGCCGAGCATGGAAGGTACTACTCTTTTTGGCTTGGTATTATTGTGTTAATCATGCATACCGATGCGGGTTATGTGTTAAATGTCGTACGTCATTATGGAGGCAGACAGAATAACGATGGGTTCAAGGTATAACGGAAGTAGGAAAACATTAGTTCTATAATTTATCGTCTTCGCTACGATTCGAAAATCGTTCTGCCTAAATGAAGGAGCCCGAACCATGAACCCCTATCCGCAGGTGTGCGAGGAGGGTCCGGAGCATCGAGCCATGGTGCGGAAGGGGCCGGAAGGGACGGAGGTGCACACGCTGCTGATGGAGGGAATTGTGAACGGACCCGTGGAAGCAGCCGTCGCCATGACCCGCGACGTCACCTTTTTCAAAGAATGGTGCGTCCACGTCTGCAGTTGATCAGTATTGACAGCATCAACGTCAGCAGCAGTCGTCATGGCTCGTGACGTCACCTTGTGTAAGAATGGTACGTCACCCCACAGTTTGACCAATACTGACAGCATCAACATCAGCAGCAGCCGTAGCCATGAGTCTCGACGTCACCTTCTTCAAAGAATGGTACGCTGCGCGCTTGGCCGCGTGTGTGCCTCACTACCATGCAGCTGTCAGCTAGGTTGTTTATTCCCCCCCATGGCTCCCCGCGTTGCAACTTGAGAGTGTTTTTCTGTTGCTCTTTTGTCATTGCATTGCAGGTGGCCGCAGCAGAACATGCCTGTGTACAAGGTGATTGAGAACCGGTACCTGAAGCGAATTGGCGACGGCTTCGACCTCACTTATATGAGGTAACACCCTACGCGAGATCACCTGCATGAGAACGCCGCTTACATGAGGTTGAGGTTACCCTTACTTGAGATACCCCCTATTTGAGGTAGCTTCATACTACCCTTCGTGATCTCAAACGTCATGAAGTACCACCGAATGCAATGCCTTACCTGAAAAGGCATGCATTAACCATACAGGAAAATGAGAAAGACATTATACACACCACCATTGCAAGCCTTTTTTTTGCGTGTAATTCTCAAAGAGAGGTTTCTAACTCTTTATTTCCTAGCCCTGTAAATGACGGGACAGACTTTCTTTTCTTGCTGCTGGTTGGATCGTGTTGCTCGAGCAGGTTCAGGACCCCTTGGCCGTTTCCCGGGAAGGAGTTCGCTTTTATGCTCCTGAGCGTCTATGACGCCAACACGGGCATGGTCACCACGGTCCTTCAAACGGTAAGTTGCGAGACTGGTTAGGTACGGTAGAAATGGGGATGCTTGTCATCTGTGTCCCGTCTCTCCATTCGAGCCCTGGACCACCCCCCACGCTCCTCCAGATGGCAAAGGACAGCACTCTCATCCACCCAGCCAAGCACGGCTTCCCACAAAAGGCCGTCCTTTCTGAACCCTCTGGCCCGCATGGCCATCAACGGTGTCTTCACCGTGAAACACCTGGGGGGGGAAATCGCTTATAAAGTTTGCTCACTGTCACCAACTTCTCCTTTGTCCCCCACCAGCCGCCAGAGGACAGCACTCTCATCAACCCAGCCAAGCACGGCTTCCCCCGAGACGCCGTCCCACCCGCTCCATCTGGCGTGGTCCGCATGGCCATCAACGGCGGCTTCACCGTGAAGGACTTGGGTGAGAATCGCTGCCACTACCGGGGAATCTTCACCGTTGATCTCAAGATGCCGCCCGCGCTGGTCAACTTTGTAACCAAGGGGTTTGGCGGAATGCTGTTCACGGTGTTTAGCAAAGAGATCGAGTCTGATTTGGCGGATACGAAGGGCAGCAAGGGGAGGGCGTTCCGGAAGGTTCTGAAGGAGGAGCAGCTGTATGTGAGGATCAGCGAGGCCATGCGCGAGCACCGTGCTCGGAAGGAGAAGCGGCAGGAGAGAGATGGGCGAGGAGGAGCGGCGGCAGCAGCAGTGGCAACAGCAGCAGCGACGGGAGAGGATGGGGAGGAGGGTGAGGAGGAAGAGGAAGAGTGGGATGGAGGGAACTCCGAGGCGTTCTACTCTCCCGCCTCCTCCTTCTCCTCCTTCTTCCATGCGCACTCCCTCCCTCCCCTGTCCCTCGACCACGCCCTAGCCACTGAATCACTCAACCCACACGCCACAGGAGGCATGCAGCTTCGTGACGCGCCTCAAGTATTCTCACAGACCAGGGGTACGAATCGCCGCACGAGTGCTCCTCCTCGCTGCAGATCTTCCGTCCCCAGGGGGGGAAGGATGATCGGCTCTGCAGCTGCGGAGGTGGAAGAAGCAGAAACAGGAGGAGCAGCGGGATGGGTTGGCAGGGGTCGGTTTGGCTTCCGAAGCAGCAGGCGCAAGGCAGAGGAGAGAGCTCGCAGACTCACAGAAGCCATTCCTTCCTTCTCCTCCTCTCTTCACACCCCCTCATCACCTGCCACCTCCCTGGCCTCCTCCCTGTCCCAAGCCCGCCTTGAAGATCTGGGCCTGATCCCTGTCATCCCTGTGTCCCCTGTGGACTCAGCACATACATCTGCTCACGAGGCAGCAAGCTACCGGCCCCACCACAGCGACCTGTGTCAGCAGATGCAGCCGGGTGATTTTGACAGAATCGTGGCAGGAGGTGCTTCAGAAAGCAAGGGAGTGTTTGGCAGCAGTGGGAAGGGGAATGGGGATGTAGGAGGCAAGACAGGTGGCGGGCTGTTTGGTAGCAGCTGGAGATTCGGCAGCAGCAGCAGCAGCAGCAGCAGCAGCAGCAGAAGCGGCAGAAGCGGCAGAAGCAGCAGCAACAGCAGGAGCAGGAGGGATAGTGATGGTGGTGCGGCGAGGAAGAGAGTCCCTGGCAGCCCAGGCCTTGGTCTCTGGTGGAAGGGAAGGTCATCCCGCGTTGCTGATTGCAGCAGCTATGACGACGATGCATGCGCAGCGGCAGCATCAGCAGGAACAGCAGCGCCACAGTCACAGCCTCCCCCAATGTGGTTGGAATCTCCAATTCACAGGACCAGCCGCAGGGGCAGCACGGGCAGCACGGGCAGCGTTGGCAGCGTTGGCATGACTGGTAGTGGCAGCAGTGCTGGCAGCAGCAGCAGCTCTTGGTCTGCTAGCCCTGTTCTATGGGAGGAGAGGAGGGTGTCTGAAGCAGGGAACCGTGGGCCTGCTGGTGCTGGTGGGACAACAGCAGGCGCCTTGAGCCCTGGGTGGGACTCTGGAAGCACTCACAGCAGCCGAAGCAGCAGCAGCAGAGGCAGTAGTAATGTGCGCACTAGAGGAGCAAGCAGCCCGAGTCACGGGCAGGTTAAAGAACAACCGTCTGGGGCACCTGGCGGCAAGGGGTTCGGCCGTTACTGTGATGCGATGCCAAAGCAGCAAGTGGAGGTGAAGCGAAGGCAGGCAACAGAGAGACGGTTCCTCAATTTCTTGAAAGGAGGACGAGAAATTGATTTTGGTGCTTCATGATGAGTGCCCAGTGTGGTCAAATTGCCATTACAGAAAGTTACAGATGTCAAAATCAATACAGCTGTAATCAATAAAACTCAAAGCAAGTAAACTCTTTCTACAAAAATAGCATACCTCAGCTACTGTACAAGATAATACACAACCCATTATACGATTTCACACACGCATCAGCTGTAAGCAGCGCAGACAGACACCAGTGCTAGCCAGCAGCTACCAGCTGTACACTAGCTGTACAGAGCATACTAAACTAGTGCTAGGAACAAACTGGTGGCATGCTGTTGCTAACTTTGCAATTCCCTTGTAGTGCCACCCACGCCATCCCCTCTCCACTCCTCCACCCCCATCACTTGGCCTGCTTTGTGTTGCTGCCCTTGTCCTTGGCACTGCCAGGAAGGCTGCTCTTCTTCTGCTAGGGAGGGACAATGCAGGGAGGATGATGCAGGGAGTTGGATTGGACGCGAACAAAGCAAAAAAAACTCGAAGCAAGAAGCAGATACGGTAATAGAGAAAACGCTGACTCGAAAACAGGAGGTGCGGAGAAGAAAGAGTGAGAGATATAATACAATTAAGAAGCTGGTAAACCTAATCGCAGATGCATTTCTGGTACCCACCTTGGCGCACTTGATCTTGGAGGCCAGCTTCCTTCGCTCCACAGCTACATTGTCAACCTGGTCAGAACCCACCCAACAATCCCAAGGTAGAATGACAAGGTACAATGCCATTTTGAAGAAACAACTACCGTAAGTGACCACTTGACCAGCCCCTAGACCACTTCAAGGAGAAAAACCAACATACTGAATCAAGTCAGAACCCCCAATGATCCCAAGGCAAGCCAAACACGAAGGCACATGCTGACCTGGACATGCAATGCACACGCTGCAATGCTGAAGAGAGGTAGCCAGTTGCCGTCCGTTGCCAGGGTGAGACCGCCCCTGTAAGACAAGAAATAGTGTGGCAGAGGGTGGTCAAGAGAGGGGTTTCAATTGCCGTACGAGAATGAATAGCCGGTTGCCGTCCATTGCCAGGGTGAGCCCGCCCCTGTGGCATCAGAGATAGCATTGCAATGAGTGGTCAAGAGAGGGCGGTCAGGAGAGGGGGTCAGGAGAGGAGGTCAAGAGAGGAGGTCAAGAGAGGAGTTCGATACTGGGACGTGAAGATTGTTAGGAGTTGTATAAGATTGGGGTTGCATTTCTGACACAAGCTAACGATTGGCACGCGTGATGCTGGGCATCGCACACCTGGCATGGATGATGCACACCTGGCATGGTTGATGCACACCTGGCATGGATGATGCACACCTGGCATGGATGATGCACACCTGGCATGGATGATGCACACCTGGCTTGGATGATGCACACCTGGCATGGATGATGCACACCTGGCATGGATGATGCACACCTGGCATGGATGATGCACACCTGGCATAGGGTGCGGCATAGACGGCTGCAAAGAGGATGTACTTGACATCACGGGAGTCGATCCACACCAGCACCCAGCATATGGTGATTATTGGCAATGCACTGCTTGCATAGGGTAATTATGAACATCGCCCACCTGGCATAGGGTGCGGCATAGACCGCCGCAAAGAGGATGTACTTGACATCACGGGAGTCGATCCACGCCAGCACCCAGCACTGCCACGATGCCACCATACAACCATACAACCATACAATCACACAATCACACAATCACACAATCACACAATCACACAATCACACAATCATACAGTCACACAATCACACAATCACACAATCACACAATCACACAATCACACTATCATACAATCACACAATCACACAATCACACAATCACACAATCACACTATCATACAATCACACAATCACACAATCACACAATCACACAATCACACAATCATACAATCATACAATCACACAATCACACAATCACAGAATCATAGAATCATACAATCACACAATCATACCATCATACCATCATACAATCATACAATCACACAATCACACAATCACACAATCACACAATCACACAATCATACAATCACACAATCGCAGAATCATACAATCATACCATCATACAATCATACAATCATACAATCATACAATCATGCAATCATGCAATCATACAATCACAGCGCACTGAATAAGGCGCCTGATGGCTGCGAAGAGGATGTACTTGACATCACGGGAGTCAATCCACGCCAGCACCCAGCACTGACATCATACAATCACATCACACACATTAAGGCGCCTGACAATCGATACAAGTACACAATGATAAACAGTCACACTTCGTGTATTGTCACACTGAGCCTTGAACATCACATTTTAGAACCTAATGGAAAATAAAAACAAATAAAAACTCCCATGCTCACAACAAGCAACCATGCCATAAGACCCAGTCATCCCATGCGTCTACGGGTCACGAGGCTTCCACAAATGGGAACAGTCCATCCATAGCAATCAGTCATTCGTTATAATCACCAGCCAGTTGAAGAAAGGAATCAGGCTGACCACCGTCATCACCCCCGCGCGCAACTCCCCCAGAGTCATCGCCCCTTCCGCCTCCTCCCCCTCCGCCTCCCCCTTCCCATCCCCCACCCCTACTCCCGCCGCCAGCAGCGCCGCGGCCGCCGCTGCTGCAGCATCGTCATCGTCGGGTCCTTTCGTCTTTCGCGAAAGGAGCGGGAGCGACGGCAGGACGAGCGGCGCGGCGGAGAGTGCAATGGACGTGGCGATTGCTGCGACGAACGGGCCGTCGTCGACGAGCGACACCTGGCACACCGTGACTGGCCGGCGGGGCTGGTGCGAGATCGCCGGACGGAGACCCAGGGTGTTCGGACGATGGATGTGACAATAGCGAGAGGGGAGTGTAGCGGTGGAGTGGCTGCGGTGGAAGGAACTGAAACGAGGGTTGTCGGATATAGTCGACGCAAGTACTTTCGCAGCATTACTAATCAGACAGGTACTCGAACTAGCCATGGCGGCGAAAGAGGAATTAAGAGTGGTGCTAATTTACTCCGACGGAGCGAATCACTACCCTTAGTACTAATTGTTCAGCCAGACAACAGGGATACAGATCGCAGACCGTGCAGCGCAGTAAAATGCGCTCGATAACAGCGTCAAATACGGTCAACCAGTGAGACGCGCTCTTAGCAAAAGTATCACTGGTAATCAACACTCGGCTCGTGCTTGTACGGTACGCTTAGAGTCAGCAATAGCAAGCATGCAGCAAAGAGCGCCTCTCAAGAAGCCACGTGGCTACTTGTTCCGCATCTCAAGAGGCAGTGCCAGGTCCTATGCTGATTTTTGAAAAATCCACGTGTACATTGGCAGCTGTTACGCCAAACCACCCTCAGGACGCGACACGAGGTTGTGCATTCCTCGGCCTTTCAGAAAAACAAGCGACACGAAGATGTGGTTTCCATTGGAAATACCAGGAATTGTAAGCTCAGTAGGATGAGGACTGCTTGGAAAGAAAAGCGAAAGCCAGAAATTTAAAACCCGAGTCCCAAATTGCGAGGCGCGTGGGTCATGATTTTAAAACTTGACGAAGTGCAGTGTGCAAGCTTTGAAAAGTAGCGCACCTGCAATTTGGGACTTTCGGGTGCTGACACAACCCCCAGGGCGAAATACGTGGGCTGGCTGGGTTTGGCGAAAAAAACGAAATGCCCGAAATCGAAATCAATCGCCAAAACCCAAACCAGAAAAAACCCCTCGCGTCATCCTTTTAAAGCTGAAGTATTCATTTGTCAGCAGGGTTCAGGGTTTAGGGAGTGAGCCTCACAGGTTTGGGGCAACTTTTCAAATTTCAAAAGTTTTTGAACTCTTCCTTTCAAATGTATACCGCAGCTTTAAAGCCCGAGTTCTACATGGCAATTTTCAAGTTCAAGATTCCTGAATATGAATTCGCAAAAAACCATGTTACCACCCGAAGTGGAGGATATCCGTCGCGATCCAGAGGGGAGGTTTTGCGACGTTGTTCCATCATTGGCCAGCGACAAAACCAGTCATTCCGAGTAAAGGGTCGGAGGGCAATGGAGCACTGTTCACTTTCAGTAAACTTGAAAACCATGTTGTACTAAATGGCAGGCATATTGACAGCCTACGTTTACTTAGTTCACCCGTTTTTCACGCCCAAACTTTCTCCGTAGCAGCTGTATCAGTACAGCAGCCTATTTGGTGACAAATACGAACAGCCAATCATAAAACCAGTCGGAGATGTCCCATTTATACAATAACTAGAGAGCTCACATGCGTGTGCGGTGCGCACCCAACCGGATATAGTTACTCGCGCGACGCCAACACGTGCCTGCACGTCACAATTCCATCCACCCCCCCGGCGTCTTACCCGGGTTGCGCATCTAGACGGTCGCACGGTCGAGGGTCAAGTATATCCCTTCCGACTGTTGCTCTCCCTTCCGCCGTCGCTCTCCCTTCCGCCCGTCGCCCTTCTTTCCCCCTCGTCGCCCTGCCTTCCGTCCGTCGCCCACCCTTGTTCCCGTCGCCCTCCCTTCCCGTCGCCCTCCCTTCCCGTCGCCCTCCCTTCCCGTCGCCTTCCCTTCCCGTCGCCCGCGCTTCTTCCCGTCGCCCTCCCTTCCCGTCGCCCTCCCTTCCCGTCGCCCTCCCTTCCCGTCGCCCTCCCTTCCCGTCGCCCTCCCTTCCCGTCGCCCTCCCTTCCCGTCGCCCTCCCTTCCCGTCGCCCTCCCTTCCCGTCGCCCTCCCTTCCCGTCGCCCTCCCTTCCCGTCGCCCTCCCTTCCCGTCGCCCTCCCTTCCCGTCGCCCTCCCTTCCCGTCGCCCTCCCTTCCCGTCGCCCTCCCTTCCCGTCGCCCTCCCTTCCCGTCGCCCTCCCTTCCCGTCGCCCTCGCTTTCCCCGTCGCCCTGCCATCCACTCCCCGTCGCCCTCGCCTTCCCTCCCGTCTCCCTTCCCATCTCGCACACTTGTCACCCTCCCTTTTCTCTCCCTACTCCCTCTTTTCCCTCCCTCCAATAATCGCCTTCCTTCCCCCAACTTATACCCCTTCCCTGCTTCCCCCCATCCCCTGCCCTGCTTCCCCCCATCCTCTTCATTCTTTCCCCGTATCCCCAGCCCTGCTTCCCCCCATCCCCTTCCCTGCTTCCCCCCATCTCCTTCCCTTCTTCCCCCCATCTCCGTCCCTGCTTCCCCCCATCCCCCTCCCTGCTTCCCCCCATACCCCTTCCCTGCTTCCCCCCATCCCCTTCCCTGCTTCCCCCCATCCCCTTCCCTGCTTCCCCCCATCCCTTTCCCCGCTTGCCCCCATCCCCTTCCCTGCTTCCCCCCATCCCCTTCTCTGCTTCCCCCCATCCCCTTCCCTGCTTCCCCCCATCCCCTTCCCTGCTTCCCCCCATCCCTTTCCCCTCTTGCCCCCATCCCCTTCCCTGCTTCCCCCCATCCCCTTCTCTGCTTCCCCCCATCCCCTTCCCTGCTTCCCCCCATCCCCTTCCCTGCTTCCCCCCATCCCCTTCCCTGCTTCCCCATGTCCCCTTCCCTGCTTTCCTCCATCCCCTTCCCTGCTTCCCCATGTCCCCTTCCCTGCTTGCCCCCATCCCCTTCCCTGCTCCCCCATGTCCCCTTCCCTGCTTCCCCCCATCCCCCTCCCTGCTTTCCCCCATCCCCTTCCCTGCTTCCCCATGTCCCCTTCCCTGCTTCCCCCCATCCCCTTCCCTGCTTCCCCATGTTCCCTTCCCTGCTTGCCCCCATCCCCTTCCCTGCTCCCCCATGTCCCCTTCCCTGCTTTCCCCCATCCCCCTCCCTGCTTCCCCCCATCCCCTTCCGTGCTTTTCCCCCTCCCGTTTCCATCGCTTTCCCCCTCCCGTCGCCCTCGCTCTCCCCCTCCCGTCGACCTCGCTTTCCCCCTGCTCACCCCCATTCCCCCTGCTCACTCTCTTTCCCTCTGCTCACTCTCTTCCCCCTTTCTCACTCTGCCCCCCCTTCCTCACTCTGTTTCCCCCTGCTCACTCTCTCCTCCTCACTCTATTCCCCCCTGCTCTATTCCCCCTGCTCTGTTCCACCCTGCTCACTCTCTCCTCCTCACTCTATTCCCCCCTGCTCTATTCCCCCTGCTCTGTTCCACCCTGCTCACTCTCTCCTCCTCACTCTAATCCCCCCTGTTCTGTTCCCCCCTGCTCTATTCCCCCCCGCTCTATTCCCCCCTGCTCTATTCCCCCCTGCTCTATTCCCCCCTGCTCTATTCCCCCCCTGCTCTATTCCCCCCTGCTATATTCCCCCCTGCTCTATTCCCCCTTGCTCTATTCCCCCCTGCTATATTCCCCCCTGCTCTATTCCCCCCTGCTCTGTTCCCCCCTGCTATATCCCCCCCTGCTCTATTCCCCCCTGCTCTGTTCCCCCCTGCTCAATACCCCCCTGCTCTATTCCCCCCTGCTCTATTCCCCCCTGCTCAATACCCCCCTGCTCTATTCCCCCCTCCTCTATTCCCCCCTGCTCTATTCCCCCCTGCTCTGTTCCCCCCTGCTCTATCCCCCCCTCCTCTATTCCCCCCTGCTCTATTCCCCCCTGCTCTATTTCCCCCTGCTCAATACCCCCCTGCTCTATTCCCCCTTGCTCTATTCCCCCCTGCTCTATTCCCCCCTGCTCTATTCCCCCCTGCTCAATACCCCCCTGCTCTGTTCCCCCCTGCTATATTCCCCCCTGCTCTATTCCCCCCTGCTCTGTTCCCCCCTGCTCAATACCCCCCTGCTCTATTCCCCCCTCCTCTATTCCCCCCTGCTCTATTCCCCCCTGCTCTATTCCCCCCTCCTCTATTCCCCCCTGCTCTGTTCCCCCCTGCTCTATTCCCCCCTCCTCTATTCCCCCCTCCTCTATTCCCCCCTGCTCTATTCCCCCCTGCTCTCTCCCCCCTTGCTCTCTCTCTTCTCACCTCCTCACTCCGTTTCCCCCTTGCTCACTCGGTTTTCCCATTGCTCATTCTCTTTCCCCCTGCTCACTCTCTTTCCCCATTGCTCATTCTCTTCCCCGCTGCTCATTCTCTTTCCCCTTGCTCATTCTGTTTCCCCCTGCTCATTCTGTTCCCCCCCTGTTCACTCCCTTCCCCCATGCCCACCCTCTTTCCCCCTGCTCACTCCCTTTCCCCCCTTCTCACTCTCTCCCCCCCTCCTCACTCTCTTTCCCCCCTGCTCAATGTCTCCCCTGCACTCTGTTTTTTCCTGCTCATTCTGTACAGGTCCCCAGCACCAGGTGTAGGGAGGGACCCACAAGTCCTGCTTTTTTGCTGCTGTGTATGCAGACAAGAGTGGGAAAAGACATATTATTGAGTAACTTGGTTCTTTTTTTACTAGATTGTTGCACTTCGTAGGTGGTCAATGGTCACTCTACTCCATGTATCAAAATTTAGTTATAATAATAAGCATACAACATTCCCACAGCCATGTATCATACCTAGGGGTACTATCAAACAACCAACATTCCAGCCGGTAAGCATACAAAAGAATGACAACTGACAAGGAAGCAACACGAAGAGGAAGAAATAAAAAGACACTCCTGGAACGGTAGGAGACAAACAGAAGGACGACCAGGGGAAAAGAGGGACAGAGAAACGGAGGAAGGGACGTATGGAGGAAGAGAGGGACAGAGGAAGGGAAGGATGGATGGGGAGGGAGGACGGGGGAAAGGGAGGACAGGCAGCACCACGTCTGCCTATGCTGTGTGACTCTGCCCACCGCCATCCACCCACAGCGCCCCAAGCAGCTCCCTGGTGCAGAAAAGCACAAGGGATGAAGAGGTGCCGCTGGGCCGAGGGCGGTGTGGGAAACACCTGGAGGGGAGGGTGAGAGGATCGGATGGGGAAAGGACGGATGGGGAGGGATGAGGAGAGGATGGATGGGAAGAGGAGGGAAGTGGTGAGGTGGGATGGGCGGATGGGGAGAGGACGGGAGGGGGTGGGGAGAAGAGGGGATGGTGAGAGGAGGGGATGGGGAGAGGAGGGGACGCGGTGACGAGGGAAGGGGAAAGAAGCGGATGTGTATAGGAGGAGATGGGGTGAGGAGGAGATGGGGTTAGGAGTATGGTGAATGGGGTATGGTGGAATGGTGAAAGTAGGCATGGGGAATGGAAGGATGGGGAACGGAGGGAGAGTGAATGACGGGATGGGGAAAGGAGGTCTGGGGAAACGAGGAAAGGGGGATGGGAAGTAGGATGGCAGGGCGAGAGGAAGGGATTGAGAGAAGGGGGGAGGAAGGGCGGAAGAGGGGGATGGGAAGTAGGAAGAGGTGGGAAATGGCGACGTGTGACGATGCCACGGGGTACGGCGGAGATGGGGTGAGGCATGGGGAGATGAGGGATGGATGGATGAGCGATGGAGAGGTGAGGCATGGGGAGATGAGGGATGGGGAGGTGAGAGATGGGGAGGTGAGGGATGGGGAGATGAGGGATGGGGAGATAAGGGATGGGGAGATGCGGGATGGGGAGATGAGGGATGGGGAGATGCGGGATGGGGAGATGAGGGATGGGGAGATGCGGGATGGGGAGATGCGGGATGGGGAGATGCGGGATTGGGAGATGAGGGACGGGGAGGAGAGGGAAGGGGAGATGAGGGATGGGAATATGCGGGATGGGGAGATGAGGGATGGGGAGACGAGGGATGGGGAGACGAGGGAAGGGGAGATGAGGGATGGGGAGATGAGGGATGGGGAGACGAGGGATGGGGAGACGAGGGAAGGGGAGATGAGGGATAGGGAGACGAGGGAAGGGGAGATGAGGGATGGGGAGACGAGGGAAGGGGAGATGAGGGATGGGGAGACGAGAGTGTGGGGTGTGGCGTAGCAGGAGGAAGGAGAGTTGCAAGGCGCGGGGAGTCCCCATTCTCGTTAGAGGGGAGGGAGCGTGGGCGACGGGAGGGAGGGAGCGGTAGTAGTGACGGATGGGTGTGCGCGTACATGACGTAAGGGGAGTGAGCATGAGCGATGGGAGGGGAGTGAGCGTGGGCGACGGGAGGGGAGTGAGCGTGGGCGACGGAAGAGAGTGAGGAGGGGCGAAAGAGGCGTCGCGCAAAGGCGACGGGAGGGGAGGGAGCGTGATCGTGCGTCAGGAAGGAAGCGTGGGCGACGGGAGGGCGTGATCATCCTCTTTGGAGGGGAGTGCGCGAAGGCGACGGGAGGGGAGTGCGCAAAGGCGATGGGAGGGGAGTGCGCGAAGGCGACGGGACGGGTGTGCGCGAAGGCGACGGGAGGGAAGTGCGCGAAGGCGACGGGAGGGGAGTGCGCGAGGGCGATGAGAGGGAGTGAGCTATGGCGATGGAGGGAAGTGTGAGACATTGACGCGAGAATGGTCGCGTGGGCGACGGAGGGGAGTGAACATAGGCGACGGCGACGAAGGGGAGTGCGCATAGGCGACGGGACGGGTGTGCGCGAAGGCGACGGGAGGGAAGTGCGCGAAGGCGACGGAAGGGGAGTGCGCGAGGGCGATGAGAGGGAGTGAGCTATGGCGATGGAGGGAAGTGTGAGACATTGACGCGAGAATGGTCGCGTGGGCGACGGAGGGGAGTGAACATAGCGTGCATTTTCAAACCAATCTACACACATGGCTTCGCTTTCTAACCCCCTCCAAGCACCAAACTCGTGGTGCAGTGTCGCACAGTTGGGTGACGAATGCTGAAGCTCGTCGCTGCCTGGTTTCGCTTTCGCACCTGTTCAGCTCTCGAAATGTTTTTTTTATGCCTTTCGCGAACACACTTAAAGCCCCCGCGTCACTGTTGCAAAACCATGCTGACCTCGGGCTTTAAAACTTGTGCAATTTGGGCAACGTGAAGGAATTCCAAAACTGGAATTGCGGAATTCCAAATGCTTGTGCTGGAAGGAGCAGGCAACGGGGTTTCAATTCATGGACCACAGTTTCGGGTTTAGGGTCTGGTGCATTACGGTATGAATCGGTATTCCGAAACAGCCAATGATGTCATCAGCTGCACTGGATGATCACACTGGTTGGATGGATTTTCTGGAGCACAGTTTCCATTGTGGATGGATTTTCTGGAGCAGCACACATGGCACAAATGCAGGGTGCCATAATATTATCGATAAAGGCAGACAAAACAAATACTTATAGTACAATTTTATTTCCTGAGTACTCACTCAATGCTTTATTGTATTTAAAACCTTACGGAACATGCAACAGCCCATTTCTAATTGCAGTCTATTTTGGAGAGAGAATAGGGGATCCAAACGCCGAGTCGTCGCTTAAAGCCCGAGTCTAGAATGGCAACTTTTCAAGTTCAAGATTCTTGAACTTGAATTCGCCTCCCCTCCCGTCGCCTTTTAGGTGGCTCTCCCTTCCCGCGTCCGTCGCCCACGCTTACTCTGAGTGACCTTCACATGACCATCACATGACCATCGCTTGCTCATTCCGTCGCTTTCCCAACACCTTTCAAGTTCAGTATTCTTGAAGCCTTACCATTCTAGACTCGGGCTTTAAGTTCCGCTTGTGCACGCTGCGCCTAGGCACCACCACAAATGCAGTACGCGCCTTTCTTCCTCCTCTTCTTGCGGAAGCTTCCCCACGTCCGGAAGCTTCTGACTCGCTCGAATATCCAGCTGCTGCAAAACGGCTGCGAACCTGGTCGGAGCTCACGCTCTTTACAGGAAGCTTCGAAGAAGGAAGATTCCTGGAAGGCCTGGAAGGAGGATTCACTGCGGTGAATTGAGCTGTGAGTGGGGACGCACGGGAAGACAAAGAAAATGCTGCAGCGGTTACAGCAGCACCGGCAGCCGTTGCAGCACGAGGAGCAGCAGTACGAGCAGCACCAGCAGCAGCAGTGCCAGCAGCAGCACCAGCAGCAGCAATGCCAGCAGCAGAAGCACCAGCAGCACTGGCACCAGGAGCACCAGCAGCAGCAGCAGCAGCACCAATAGCACCAGCAGCACCAGCAGCAGCACCACCAACACCACCACCACCAGCAGCACCACCAACAACACCAGCAGCAGCAGCAACAGCCGGAGCGGCAGCTGCAGCAGCAGCAGCAGCACCTGCTGGGACAAATGTTCCCTGAGTAGCCTCAGCAGCTTCACCAGCAAACTTATCAAAAATATTCCCTGCCCGCCTGCCTATGGCACCTGCAGGCGCAGCAGCAGAAGGGACGTCAACAGCAGAACAGCCTTCAACAGCAGAACGGCCTTCAACAGCAGAACGGCCTTCAACAGCAGAAGGGATTTCAGCAGCAAACATGTTAGCAGCAAGGAGGTTATCAGCAAGCATGTCATCAGAGCTGTCTCCATGCCACGATGCCCTTCGCGCAATGGCCCGGTAACCCCCTCCTTCCGCTGACTTCGCCCCCCCTCCCCTTGGTGATCTAGGCCCCCCAGATGTTGCACTGGCAGGGGCAGATGGGCTATCTGGGTGAAGGTTCCAGGAAACCCGCTTGCTGAATGTGGGAGAAGAAGCTGTGGAGGTAGCTGGTGATTTTAGGATGGAGGGGCGAGCAGAGGGGGATAGGGAGGCGGTGGAGGAGTGAGAGGGGGTGAGAGGGGGGGACAGGGATGAGGGAGTGAGAGGAGGGGACCGACATGAGGGAGTGAGAGGCGGGGATCGAGACGAAGTGGTGAGAGGAGGGGGACGAGATGAGGCGAGACGAGGGGATTGAGACGAGGGAGTGAGAGGCGGGGGTCGAGACGGGGGAGTGGGACGAGGGGATCGAGGCGAGGGAGCGAGAGGAGGGGTGCGAGATGAGGGAGTGAGAGGAGGGGATCGAGATGGGGTAGTGAGAGGAGGGGGACGAGATGAGGAGACACGAGGGGATTGAGATTTGGGAGCGAGAGGAGGCGGTCGAGATGAGGGACTGAGAGGAGGGGTGCGAGATGCAGAAGTGTGATGGGGAGATTGAGTCGAGGGAGTGAGAGGCGGGGATCGAGACGGGGTAATGATAGGAGGAGGTCGAGAAGCAGAAGTGCGAGGGGATTGAGACGAGGGAGTGAGAGGCGGGGATCGAGACGCGGTAGTGATAGGAGGGGGGCGAGATGAGGAAGAGGGACGAGGGGATTGAGACGAGGGAGTGGGGCGAGGGGATTGAGACGAGGGGGTGAGGGGAGGAGGGCGAGATGGGTTGGTGACAGGAGGGGACAGAGGAGGAAGATTTGGCTTGAGAGTCAACACAGCAGGACCTTGGCGCTGGCTGAGGAGAGAGGACTGAGGAGAGAACGTCCGTGCCACAGATCGTGCTACGTTCACTGCTACATCTCCTGCTACAGTTCCCGCTACAGTTCCTGCTAACGTATCTGCTACAGTGTCTGCTACCGTTCCAGCCACTGTTCTCGCCGCATTCACCGCTACGCTTCTTGCCGCGTTCACTGCGACGACATTCCGGTTGGCAGCAACAGCAGCAGCTGTGGCTGTAGCCGTGACTCCCGTAACAACTTGAGACTTCACCGATCCCGCTGCTGCTGCCGCCGCTGCTGCTGCAACCTTAGCAGCAGAGACCGCACGCCGGCCAGCAGACTCAGGGTTCTGAAGCCAGTCGCTGTTCTTCATCATTGAAGCAAAATCCATGCTCTGGCTCTGCTTGTGGCTGATCATCGCTCTCCTTGCAACACCGCCTTTCACTCCTCCTGCTCCCTCTTCCCCTCTTCCAAACCCTCCTCCTCCATCCCCCCCTGGGCCACGAGGAGAGACCAGTCCCGGAAGCCCGTAGCTCTCGGGAGGAGCAATCAGCCTCCACATGACTGTGTCGCTGGGATTCGTATCAGATTTGGTTTGGCGGATTTGATACCCCGGCCGGCCGGAACCCGCGGCCTTGATTGATATCGACGCAGACGCGGCTGAAGTCGAGGGACGGTCGAAGCGAGACGGCAGAGCAGAGGAAGATATAAAGGGGGAGGAGGAAGATGGAGGAGAGGACTTTTGAAGCGCGTCAAAGGGAGGGGAAGACGGAGGAGAGGAAGGGGGAGAAGAAGAAAAGGACCAAGAGGGAACGGGTAGGTCGCTGGAGGAATGGCACGATAATACCGGGCTGCGGAAAAGCCTGTTCTGCCGCTCCTGCTGCTGCTGTAGTTGCTCCTGCTGCCGCCGCCGCTCCTGCTCCTGCTGTAAGTGCTGCTGCCGCTGTTTCTCGGGCAGTTGAGAGCTGCCCTGCGGTTTCTCCGTGCGCTTGAGGAGAACGGGCTTGCACAGAGTGGCACAAAGGATTCGCCACGTGCTGTGAGCATGCAGCACCGTTTGCTCCGCTTCCTTTGCTTGCTCCGTCTGCTCCGCCTCCCTGGCTCGCCGTGCTGCTTGCTCCGCTTCATCCTCCTCTTGATCCCCCCGGTCCTCTGCTTCCCTTCCAGACCTCCCCCATTCCTCCTCGAGATCCTCCGCTCCTATCGCCACACGTCCGATCATCGAATCTCGATCTCCGATCCTTGAAACGCGTGTCAGAGCTCCGCCTCCGCTTCCTCCGCTTCCGCCGCGCCACGATCCCCTCTCCTCGCTCTTCCTCTTAGTTCTGGAGTCTTGTGGCTCGGATGATTGGCTTCCGCCCGCCTCTCCGTCCGCTGCTTCTTCTTCCGCAAGCGAGTGAGACGCGCCAAAGAAGGGATTGGCGGGGCGACCTGCAGAGAAGAGGGAAGAGCATGGGAGAATTCGGTCGCTCTCAGTTCTCGAGTCTTGAAGCTCGGATGATTGGCTTCCGCCCGCCTCTCCGTCCGCTGCTTCTTCTTCCGCAAGCGAGTGAGACGCGCCGAAGAAGGGATTCGCGGGGCGACCTGTAAGGAAGAGGGAAGAGCATGGGAGAATTCGGTCGCTCTCAGTTCTCGAGTCTTGAAGCTCGGATGATTGGCTTCCGCCCGCCTCTGCGTCCGCTTCTTCTTCTTCTGCAAGCGAGTGCGACGCGCCGAAGAAGGGATTGGCGGGGCGACCTGCAGGGAAGAGGGGAGAGCATGGGAGAATTCGGGGAAAGAGAAGGGATGAGAAACAGCGGGAAGTGGACGGGGAGGGGGGGGGGGGGGGGGGGGGGGGGGAGTGGAGAGGAGAGGGAGAAAGAGAGGAGAGGGGAAGGGGAGGGGATGGAGAGGCGAAGGGGACGGGGGAGGTGAAGAGGGAGGAATTTACAGACTTTTCTCTGTAATATCGTTGAAGTTGTTGTTGTTTTTTATTTATTTGTTTGTTTGTTATTTTTATGTTTCTCGTAAAAGTTGGAAACTTTCTAGCAAGCGTTCTCAATTTCGTCTGCATCATTTTTTGCGGTATTGTCTCGTCATCATCCAGTGGACGAGAGCAAGGGGTCGAGCGAGTAGTATGGGAAGAAAAAGCGCATGCACTAGTAACGAACAAGGAGGGAGTAAGGAGGGGAAGGAGCGAGAAGAAAAGCAGGGGGCGCGGAAGGAGAGCAAGGAGGGAACGGGAGCGAGACATGGAGAATATAACGTTCCCATTACGGTAGGAGCGAGACATTTTATAAGGGTCGCTGCGTGGCGAGAGAGGGGAAGAGAAGGGAAATAGGAAGGAGGAGGGAACCGAGAAGGGGAGAGGATGGCTTGGAGACGGTAGTAGAAGTAACCAGCTTTGGCATACCTGGTGCCGCGATTTCGCCAAAGGATTCCGATTTTTTCGCCCACTCGCGAACGCGATTCAACAGATCGCCCAAGGAATGTTTCCTCTTGCCGCTCGTCACCAGCTCGTCGTCCGTTGCGATGGTTACAATCCTCCACGAAATCGGCATGCTGTTTCGCCCAGATCCCTGCAGTCGCAAGGGCATCGCCAATAGAGGAAAAACGTCGTACGCGTCGCCAGGTTCGCGCGCCTGGGACCCAATCTCCAGCGCCTCCAGCGGAACGTTGTCGCACGCCGTTAAGAGCGAGTCTGCGAGCTCGTTAACCCGCGACTCGTCCTTGCGGCCGTCCGAACCGCCAGATTCCGAATCACCACTGGTGATGGCATCATTCGCATCCCAAAGGGAAAACATCGACATGGATCGCGACGCGAGCACGCACGTCTGCGGCAGAATGCCCAGATTCCACGGCGAATCCGATAGGAGCGCCGCCGCCGCCGTCGACGATGATTGAGACGGCGATGCAAGCGACGACGTCTCCGAGTCGCTAGTATCGGTCTTCACTTTAATACGCTTGCCGTCTAGGCCCAATACGAGCACCTTCCGCTTCTCCAGCAGGAGGGGGTCATCGCGGCGCCGAAGCTTTTGGCTCGCGGGCCCGCGATCGGCGGAGGGGGATTTGGCGGCGCGGCAGACGAAGGAGAAGGTGCAGGCTGGGAAGGGGGGACCGGGGTGGCGCGGGGAGGAGAAGGAGTCGGCGGAAGAAGGCGGAGGCGGAATGAGGAGGATGTCGTGCCAGATGGAGGACACGTGGCCGGCTTAGATTAGCGGGAGAATGCTCGTGGACGATCCGACGCCCCGAACTGGCGGCATGATGATGTTGTAACTACTACGAGTAGTAGTAGTTATAGTGAGGCAGAGTGAACTACTCGTGTGATGCGAGGATGATGAGGCAGAAATGGTAAGGCGTCTAGCAAAGCTGAGCGAGATTATATGATGAATAACGAGGCTTCGACCCGGCTTCAGATTCTGAGGCCTCTGAGAATGAGAAATAGTCATCGACGCGTCGATCGTTGGTTGAATGACACATTCCTTCCGAGTCGGCGGTCGTAACGTCGCGACGAGCAATGGTCCCTCCGACTCGGACTCGAAAACGCTGTAGGTAAGAAAAACGACGAATTCTACCCGACGTCGAATTCTAGTACCGCTATTCGTCTCCTATTCCGTGCACCGCCAAAGCAACGCTCGCTCATCCCTCCTAGATTAGCCATGTAGAAAATCAGCCAATCAAAACTCTCCAATATAGTCGCGTATGATTGCATTCCGAAGCACTGCTTACCATTCAAGCGTGAGCCTTCAAGCTGAACGCCTACTTACCCCTAATACCTGACCTAGACACAATACTACAAAATCTCAATGCTGAGATATACACTCGAACTTACGACGTAAGTACACCACCGCATCCATACTCGTCAGCGATTTGAGTAACAACTGACCTACTAGTCCACCCAATACATAAGACTAAGTTGCCCCTGCATGGGTTTGGGTTCGGGCATCCATCAAGCCCTTTTTACTACGTGGTGACAGTTCGAAACAATAGTGTACCTGCTTGGAATGCAATTGAGCAGCTCGTGTGAGAATACTAAGGCTACAGTGTTAGCGAGTTGTATTGATGGTCCTAAATACTGTTGCGAGAATCCAGGTTCTATGGAGGATACATGCTGCGATGCGTCAGACCAATTCAATACACAACACTAATGACTGGGAAGGCGACTCGTAATTTCCCGCCGAGTTGAGTTGAGAGGTCTGGTTTGTGAGTGGAGGCTTTGTAGAAATTCATGAGGTACGGGAAGAAGGGCAGCTTCGGAAACATGGGGATTTCGTAAGGGCGTGAAACAGCTCTATTCAAGACTCTGTTCGAGACTTGAATGTTCCACTACAACATCCTGTAACGTTCCAAATTCGTTTTCTACCGTATATTACCCATGTTTGACTCATGGAACACAAATGTACCAATTGTTTATACAGCGCCGAGGCAGATGAGAAGTCGGCACGGCAACTGATCCAGTTCACCGAGTCTGATCCGAAGCAGCCAAAGTGATCTCCACGCCAACCAAGCAGGCCCCTCCATTCGTTTTCGTTCGTGGTGCATGCCACCAATCCTTCTTCACTGCAGATGATATTCGCTGAAGTCTTCGGGACCAGCAGTAGACGAACTCAGCTCTTCTGCGTGTGACAGTTAAAAACGATTATCTATGTGAGACAAGTTTCTACAGCATTTGGCATCGAACTGCTGTTTGTTTGTTTCTACGAAACGGTTAGAAAGGGGTAAAATGGGCACCCTGACAGACAATGACACTCGTTTTCAACGCAACATACAAGGGAAATTATACGCGCAGTCACAATTATGGCCGTATTATCACGTTTGGTCACGGGGTTATCACGGACAGTCACAGTACAGTACTTCGCTATCACGCATGATCAAAGCGCTATCACGCTTGATCACTCCTCGCCCCGCAGGGTTATCACGTTTGGTCACTCGTTGAAACGCCCGCCAAAAAGTCGAAACTCTCAAATCTACTGTACAGATTCGGGTACTTTTATCTCGCGCGCTTTTTGTCTGTAGTGAAAAACGTGATGTGACTGTCGAAATATAATCGGTCCTTGTTAGGGACCGATGCAGTTTAATGCAGAGTCCGCAAACTATTGTCTGCAGCTATTATTAAAAATAAATAAACTATACTAATTTGTTGCAAAAGTACCAAAGAAAACCATCAATTCTAAGAAACATCATATCTTATCAATCGATTGTGCGCCTGACACTGAACTTGTTTTTAGCTTGTTAGCAGTGTAGTGAATGAAGTGAACGCCAATAATAAAACTATTCGGAAGAACGGACATACCGTATGTCGAACTACCACAACACAATGTGTTAGACAGTATCAAACTATACAGGTTACAGTTATCAATTATTCACATCGGCATAAGCTTATATTACAAGATGCAATTACACTAAACATGTCCATCATAAATGGGTTTGATTAATTCTAAATAGTTAAATTACACATATCAACCAACGCAATTACGTGTCGTATATGCATTTCCCCGCCTGTAACGTTCAACGGTTTTCCATCTAATATAAGTCAATTGTATGGGTTTCCCACCAGCTAAAGCTATTGTCACTGTGCTAAACATAATTACAATGCTCTCACTGTTTTATGGATGAAATGCACACCATAAACTAATTATATAATCGAAACTGCTACTGCATCGGTCCCTAACAAGGACCGAGTATATTTCGACAGTCACATCACGTTTTTCACTGCAGACAAAACGCGCGCGAGATAGAAGTACCCGAATCTGTACAGTAGATTTGAGAGTTTCGACTTTTTGGCGGGCGTTTCAACGAGTGACCAAACGTGATAACCCTGCGGGGCGAGGAGTGATCAAGCGTGATAGCGCTGTGATCATGTGTGATGGCGAAGTACTGTACTGTGACTGTCCGTGATAACCCCGTGACCAAACGTGATAATACGGCCATAATTGTGACTGCGCGTATAATTTCCCCAACATACAATGTACCCCCAAAATCCGCTCCACTCCACGTACGGATACATTCTAAATCATGATCCAAGGGCAAATGATACTGATACACCGGATACCCCCATGCGCGAGATCACTTTGGTGGACACTTCCTCCAACCCTTTTCCTGCTGCTCTATACTTCGTCACGAGGGTCATCAGCGGAATATCAAAAGTGTCAATTTGTAGAGTAGTGTTACGAGTGCAATTGAACGAGCGAGTGAGAATTGCACTATCGAAGCAATCAATACAGTTGAGCGAAAAGCATGAGCGAAGTTATAGAGCGAAGCTAGCGTGGTAACGGTAATGCGGGAAATTGGGGTGCGCTACGGGCCTAGCGCCGAGGTTGGGAATTGTCGAGGCGGAGGTCCGGAGCGCGGGTTACCAACCGAACCGTGAGGTTGGGTCGCATCGTGAACAGTGGCGGGAGTCGTGGTCGAGGCGAATGTCACGAGCGGGTAACGTTGACGGATGGGTGCCGACGGCGGGAACGGACATGTACGCGGTAAGCAGGGACGCGAAGTAAGGAAAAGGAAATTTCCTTACACTATCCCCCCCCCAAGGAGGCCCCTCTTACGAGAGTGCGTGTACATCTCGAAAGTTTCGGCTACGCAGATACTCAGTCAAGACAGGGTTATTCTCAATTCTATCCAGGGGAACCCAATTGTCTTCGGTTGGCGTGCGGTCTTTCCAGCGGATTAGAAATTCGATCCTGCGGGCTCCCCGTGGGTCACGTACTCGGTGGCTCAGTATTTTTTCGGGCGTGATGGTTGGCTCTGTCGGTGGTCGTGTCATGCTGGCGGGGCGGTTTCGAGGCAGTTGGCTGGTAGATGGCACGTATGGGCGAAGCAGGCTGACGTGGAATGACTGGCTGACGTACCAGTCAGCAGGGAGGAGGAGATGGGCGGTGACGGGTGTGATCATGTGGCTGATGCGAAATGGCCCGCAATATCGGGGGCGGAGTTGTGGGGTGATGGGCAGGCGGAGGTTTTGAGTGTCGAGTAAAACTAGGTCGTCGGGCTGGTAAGTGACAGGTCGGCGGTGGCGGTCTGCGTTGCGTTTAGCGATGATGCTTGATTTTTTTATTGCTTCTGCTGCTCGGGTCCGTGCTGCTTGCAGTATTTCTGCGAACTGTTGCGCGCGTGGGACTGGGTTGTCGGGATTCGGGGTCATGGGTACTGTGGGGTCTTGTCCGTAGTTCAGGTAAAATGGTGACTGTTGGGTCGTGGCAGATGGCGAGTTGTTGTACGCGAATTCGATGAGTGGCAGTTGCTGTTCCCGCATGGTCGGGTCGTCGCACGTGGCCCGGATGAGCTATTCCATGGTCTGATTTGTCCGTTCTGTCTGTCCGTCGGTTTCAGGGTGGTATGATGAACTGAACTGTAGTCGCGTGCCGAACTGCTGCCACAAGTTCTGCCAGAAGTTGCTGGTGAATTTCGTGTCGCGGTCGCTGATGATCGCTGCTGGTATCCCGTGTAACCGAACGATGGTGGCGATGAAGAGGCGAGCTGTTTCTTCGGCTGTGGTTGATTTCTTGCATGCTGCGAAATGTGCCATTTTCGTCAACCGATCGACGACGACCAGGATCGCGTCGTTCCCACTTGATCCAGCCGGTAACCCCGTGACGAAGTCCATCGTCACCTGCTGCCAAGCACGCTCTAGGGGTGGTATCGGCTGCAACTGTCATGCCGGTCGTTGTCGTGACGACTTCATGAGCTGGCAGGTGGGACACGATGCCACGTGTCGTTGCACGTCGGTCAGCATCTCGGGCCAGTAGTAATACCGCTGCAGCTGCTGCCGTGTTTTCTCGACCCCGAAATGTCCTGAGGTAACCCCGTC